TGTGAAGTGAAATGTGTGATCTTTGAGTTAGTAGTGTTTGTGGTTAAGAATGGAATAGAAAAACCCGTGATTTTCAGTGGCCACAGTGTTAAGTGAAATCAAGATTACTGGGTAAATTTTAGTAGGTAAAACTAATGTGGTTTGTGACTTTATTATTGTCCAATAAATTAGGGCATGTCTTTCTGTGTTCTGACATGGTACACTCTCAATCCTGTTGCTATGTTTATTAATACCTGGAGAGCTCTGCATACTCAATAATGTAGATACAAAAGACTCAAGTCCCTTTTTCTCTAAACTGACAGCTTATTTGGGAAAGGACAAACACCATACATTTTATTGCTAATTTTGATACCACTAAATTCAGAAAGGCAGGAAGCTTGAGGCAAGGGCTCACTAGATCTGTGGATTTTGTACATGTACCCCGAGTAGGTGGATAAGTGAGAGTAGAAGGAGATCAGTCTGATGGATGATTTAGACTAATCAGCACTTGGGTTGGATGAAGGGAGATTGGTAATGAGCATTGCAAGCAAGCAAGGAAGCTCTGTGAGAACACAGTCTAGAATTTAAAATATGGATCCATAGAGTTAGTTTATAACAAAACCAAGAAGCAAGTGATAACTCAGTATATCTAAATTATGTACAAAACAGGACTTTAATATTCTCGTGATGATTTGCTTTTTGACATGTTTTGGATCTTCAATATAAACATATTCTCTTTCTACCATTACCTCTGTCTTTTGTTCATTTATGCCCATTGTCTCTTGCAGTATTCAGAGTAGAATTTGAATGAATGTTCTACCTCCTCACCAATACAACATAACACTTAGAGCAGAATGGATCATTGGTTTTAAGTTAGAATATTGTATTTGGTATCCCTTTTGGGGGGTCCAAAGTTACTTTTTCTTTGAGCTGTAATTCATGGCATACAGTTTGGATATGTTTTTGTTTTTAATATAGTTTTTATTTATATAGTTAGCACATGTGATTTTTATGGCCCAAACCTCTAAACATTGTGACTCTTATTCCAAGTAGTATTTTATAGCTTTATTATCTCAAATACAGGATATATACAACTTGTTTATTATGCATTGAGTTAAACCAGCATTCACAGAATTTTTAGATTCAAACAATACAAAACAGCAATGGGACTAGGTTTTGAAGCTGCTTCTTTTGTGTGAATAGACTCACCTTACAAAAGTTGTTTTGAATATTGTGTTAGTTATTTGCAAAGTCGTTGCAACTAGAAGACCTTGTTAAAATCTCATACTTCTTTCAGCAGGATTAGAAACATGAAATCTTATTTATGAATAATAGACATTTAAATATGTTATTAAGGCACCATCTCGGTAATCCATTATTATATTTAAGAGCTCATCATATTTATAATGACTATATTAATTATAAGGTCTTTCATTAAGCTCACAGGCTATTTCCTTAATATCACGCTAAAAGAATGACCAAAAATGAACAATTGTATCTACACTTACAATTTCCAATCCACCTGGCTATTGAGGGATGTCATTTTACTTCAGATGTTTCTAAAGGTTTCATCTAACATGAAAATAAGCTGTGTTTCGCTACAATGAAGAGACAGATAGTGGTTTATAGTTATGCTACATTTTGGCTGAAAGTTATAAATTCAAATCCGGGTTGAGAATAATATTTTTCCTAGTGTTAATCTAACAGAACGTTTTATTGTGAATGCTCATAAAGACAGTATTTTTGTGTTGGTGAATATTCTAATAAACCCAATGGCTCATTTTATAGTTCTAGTCTTTGCTTATTATTTTCTCTAATCATATCTTCCAATGGAAACTCTTAGTAAACTTTCACAGTATAATTCAGTAAAGAAAATTTGATTGTGTACTAAAGTAATGATATCCAGATACACAGCTCTCTAAGGGCAGAATTAAACATATCCAGAAGAATGTATTGTATTGGAAAATGCCCCATGCATGCTGTTTTTGTTAACAGAGTTCTTAAGTGTTAAGCAGTATCTAAGAAAGGTAGAGAACTGTTTGGATGACAGAATATGCAGTTTCTATATTCTTAGCCATGTACATATACATGTCTTAACCTTAACTACAGAAGGGATGTACTTGACAGTTTCTTTCAGAATGTATTCGGACAATTTAGGGTGTGAACCTTCATAACTGCTTATTCTATGAGAGGATCAAAATTGTTTTGGCAGTCAGTTTCTGGTCAAAATTGGAATCCATTAGAATTAAGTTTATTTCTCTGTTATGCCATAGTACCTCATACCCACTGGTACAAACCCACTGATTTTTATTTCATGTTTAATTTTTTTTTCGATTTATAGATACATATACTTTATTAAGCTTGTATTTTTCCTTATAGGTTTAAATTGCTGACAAAATGAAACTGAAATGTAGGAGGATTTGTTTTGGATTACCACCAGTTCAGAATTTTAGTACATATGTTTTGCTCCATTAAATCTGGATCCCAGATGAGGCAGGACACCATGGTAACCAAAGGGTGTGGCTGAGGCTCCTCATCTCATGGCAGATAGGAAGGAAGCAGAGTCAGTTGACAGCAGAAGCCCACTAGGGCAAGGTTTAGCCTTTAAAATGAAACTCCAAACGGCCAACTTCCTCCAGCCATGTCCCAACAGTCTATCTCCTGATCACCTATTCAAACTTTTAATTCAGGTGAGGGCAGAGCCCGCATGACCTAATCACAGAGCATGTCTAGACATGTGCTGTCCTGCTGTGGTGAGCTTTCTCATCTAGTCAGCTGGCATGCAAGATTATGTACCACACAGTCCTTAGCACCTCTTTTAATCTGGTTAGTAGTTGGGCACAAGATATTGTTGAGCATTAACCAATCTAGGCAAGATGAAATTTGATATTTATTATTATAAATTATACAAGTAAAATTATTTAGCCAGTCATAAGCTGATTCCATCTCTCTTCTACTGAATATTCATTCTTCTTTGAAGGACACAGAGTTTATAAAGTACTTCACGGGCAGACCACTGGTATTCTTTTACTATCTGATGTAGCTTTTCTCTGCGACAGACACATTAGTATGTATTTGGGTGGGGAAATACCCAGAGAAACCACTGCATGTTCTCATCTTTCTTTGAAAAGCTAGGCTCTCTGATCGATAAAATTCAAGTAGAATTGTTATATGTAAATTTTAGGACACATAATGTTTTTATTTTTCCCCTTTCTGATGCCTGGAGTGCCAACACTCAGTGAAGCTCAGCAGCCCAGCTTAAGGCCAGGAAGAGGACACATATGTTGAAACAAGAAATGAAAGGTCCCTTACCATGAGGAATTATCCTATTTTCATGGACTTTATTTCTTCCAGTTCCTTCATGTAAGAGACAGATAAACGGGCCTTCTAAGACACTTGGACACTGGATTTTAAACACATTTTAGCTAAGCTTCTTGGTAGTAATTCATGGGCTTCTTCAGAAAGTCTTCTCGAATCTCAGCAACTGAGCCAGAAGACTCTCTCATTTGTACCTATATGCATGTACCCTGCGGTGGCTTTTGCAGAAAAAATCTTCTCCAATTTCTGTAGTGACTTTTTTTTTCTTACAAAACCTTGCTTGGAAATAGGATCAGTGTCTGTTTTAAGTGTCGTTCATCTTTCCTCCTAACCTATACTCATGTCACTGTTAGTGCGTCGAGAATATAGTTAACTAGTATTACTTATTAGGGTGATAGAAGAGCCTGAGTTGTTTAAAGTGATAACAGAAATGAGTTACCTTTGCTCTGAGAAAATTTTGGTTCAAGATTATAGGGCAGTATACACAATAAGTGCTCAAGCAATTGTGTGCAGAGTTATTTGTTGTGGAAGAATGCTCCAGCGTTCTCCTCCATGATACTTAATGTCATTTCGACACAGAACAGCAACGAGTGCATTTCTATTAGTCTTAGATGAGTAATGTAGTCATAACTCATGCCAAGACTTTGTGTTTGTTTTTTCACACACACACACACACACACACACACACACACACACACACACACAC